GCATTAAAAGAAAAAGACCCTCAAGGTTTCTCCCTGCAGACTAGCACTGCTGTGCTGACAGTAACATTCAGGCATTTTCAACATCCACTTAGCCATGAAGTACTGGTGCCAGCAAATGGGTTAATATGTTAGTGAGAAGGGAAAATACAGAGAGAGGGAATAATTAAATTGCTCTGTTCATACTGCCTCTTGACAGCTCTCACACATCTCGAATGAGCATCAGGAGAAGCTCCTCGTTTGCTCCCAGCCCTGCTGTTTCACTAGGTTATATTGGTGGGCTGTGATTTCAGAGAGGGCATAAGAAAGAGGATGAAATAACTCAAAAGCATCGCAAAGTAACAGGAAACTCTGATCAGTGGCAGAACTTTTTGGCAGCAGCATTATAATTGTATCCTTTGGTATTTGGACACAGAATTCTACTCGCATCAGTTCAACCTTCATCTGCTGAGCAGATTTTAGTGACTCTTTGGGAGAATTTTAACACAGTGAAATAGAATATCTTGACATTTTTCTGTGACACACATTGATATAAGTGCTGTTTAATTTTACCACAAGCTACCAATGTTGAAGTGAAATGAACAAAGCAATTACTTTTTGATGGTACACTTCCCCTAAGTCTCCTCCGTTCAGAAGCAATGAAAAACTTCTTATATTTATGAGCTAATCCAGGATCTGGAGCAAACTGAATACACTGCTGTACATTTGGGGCTGCTGTGACTTTTAAACAGGACAATGATGTCCCTAGGGATACATCCAGCAAGCAATATATGGAAGCAATTACTCCTTCAGGAGGATATTTTTGCACAAACCTACAAGCTGTTACAGCATACAAAGCTGCGAAAGGTTAAGTGACAAATGATATGGACATAGTGACATTACTCACCAGTTAAAAATCAAGTGACAGTCACGCTTGCACAACAGCAATGCCTGTCAAGGTTTTGAGGCTCGCTACCTGAAAGTAAGTCTGAACAGAAGGAATATGCATTCCTGGTGAGCGACATCCACTGGGAAGATGGGCTGTACTTCAGGCTACACTCTAAGTTTGCTTATTTATACGAAAATATAACACCAAGAGTGAAATTTTCAAAGGCACTTGCATCACTTAGGAGCCTAAATTCTACTTCCAACATGAAAGAAGCAGGATAAATTAGTGTAGGCAGGGGCTAGACTCATTTAATAGCTGGCTCAGTTACCTCTGTAACGCACTGTAGTCTGTTGGGGAAGCAATTCCTGAGGCATTTATGAAAGGGGCCTGAAATATTTCTGAAAAAGTTATCCCAGAAGATGTCATATTTATTCAGATATTCAGATTTATTATCGGATTTATAATTGCAGATGTTATGATAGCTGCACTGATTAGATCCCAGCCTAATTAATCTGCACCCTGATTTACAAGTTATTCATTTAGGGCACGACACTGCAAAACATTAAGCACCCTCTGCCAGCTGCTGAATGCCCATCATACCACCAGTCTTCTGGAAGTACCATATTGATTTCCCGCCCTACACGGTACCTTGGAGAACAAAAGCTATTACCATGACGAGAGAAATGCAATACCATGCTGCTTCTCTAGGCATTATGCATGTCATTAGGTGTGATAACGCCCAATAAACTCAGGAACGTATATGCGCCTTATCATAAAGATTTCTCTCAGAACCGGAACAACAGTCGTCACAGAAGAAAGGCTTTTTCCACATCTATTAGGAAGAATGTGTTTGCACACAAAAGAAAGGAAGTGAACACCAGCCTTTACAGTCAATGGTTACGCAAAGGTAAAACTGATAATTTGCTGGCTTATTTCCTTTATTAAGCCCAAAATAACACCTTCAAAAAGCCTGACTTCATGAATAAATCAAATGTCTTCATTAAAGAAACATTAACTGCCATTTTCTATACTTTATTTTAAGGCATACAGAAAAATATTTAACAAATGTGTATGCAATTAAATGCCAGGGACTGCTAATTACAGCCCTTCTGAATGCCTCTGCAAAACAATGATACTCAACACAGTCTGTTAGAAAGGGTGGGGAAAACAAAAGTAGAGGAAGCTGAAGACGATCTACTTCATATTAGCGCAGATAGATCCTGGCCCTTGGCTACAAGCAGCAAATGAGCCATCCATGTAACCCAAAATGGCAGCCAAAGGACATTTGAGATTTGTATCTTTGCTTCTGCTTCTCTAATTCATTTCCAAAACGTTTCATTTCTAACTAATTATGGAATTTAATGACAGAATGTAAAGGACTGGCTCAGGTTTCAGGCCACTCCAACAAGATTTTAATGATCTATCTTGCAGGTTGCGGAATCTTTATGCACTTAGCAGTGATTTATCAGCCCTGGCAGAGGCAGGTACTCAGAGGCAACCTTATATAAAAAATAAATTCTGCCTTTGCCAAGCATCAGAAAGAGCACTAAATTAAATTTAAAAATCAATTCCTCGAGACAAGAGAGTCATAAAAACTCAGTGGGCTTGTCTATTTGGCCAACAGGCAAAAATTTATGAAAGTACAATTTTGTAATCAATAAAAGCAATACAGTGTATGTTTTTGATTGGAAAAAATTAAAGCTGCCAAAACAACATTGTTAAATATTTAAGCTGATTCGTGACAGTCCCATTAAGCAGCAACACAACATGCATTTTGATGAATTTCCAACTAGTTTATGTCATACTATACTTTTTATTTTTCAAAAAAAAGAATATTAAAACTATTATAAGCTTTGTCACCTGCTGTAAGGCAGAATGATGCAATTTTATTCACTGCACATTTCTCGTTTGTGAGGCAAAAAAGCATAATTTACTTCTTTATAAAAGGGAAATATATATAACTATATATATATATATTTTTATTGGTATTAACATAATGCAATACCATACATTGAGCAAACAGAAAGAAAACATTTCAAAATACATTTTTAAAAGTATCTCCCCATAAGATAGTATGAAATATCAAGTAATTAGCATTACATTATTACAATACACCCTTAGCCAAATATATTAAGGAAAATCCACATTCTAACCACAGAGATAGAGGCAAACATCAACCCATAGGGGACTCAGAACATAATAATAAATACAATATCTGAATCTACTTTGAGTGACATCCAGACAAATACTGGCCCCAAAACAGCCCTCTGGAATCTGGGTGTTATACAGAGAATACTTTGTGCCTATTTGGCCAGGCGGTATCACTCACATGTTTAAGTCCTAGAAGATAAAGAGGAACTGAAGAGTTTATCTGCAGAGTCTAATAAATCTCAGCGTGAGGTATCTTCTCCATCATCATCCAAACCAGTGTCAGTGTACCCCTCCGGTAATTCATCACAAATCATTAAATAAATAGAAGTCTCTGAATAGTCTGTACACACCTTCACTTGATAGAATACACTTAGTTTAGTACGATACAGTACGGTAACTTCCTTCACTAACGTGAAGTATGCTTAAATGACATAACTCTGTCTGGTTGGCCTGAATGGATTCACTGGAGTTCAGTAAAAACAACAGGATTTTACAGTTACCATGGCCGAATCCCTCTTTAATTCCTCGAAGTCTGCAGAACAAAACTGAGTGACATCAAAGCCCTTCCCCTGCCAAGACCCTCTTCCCCTTCCGTTCTCCCATGCGGGGGGCAGTATTTTCTGCAAATGTGCTCCATGTAGACTGGATCTGACTTTGTGCCTAGTCCCATTGTGGAAAGGGTGCATTCTTCAAAAGACTGGCCATGCCCTTTGACGCCTTCCTGGAGGCCTCATATCCAGGCATGTGGTTGTCTATGTGCTTTAACACGTCTGTTCTCTTTTATAAACACCAAAGTTATTCAAGAAGAATTGACTTTCTGAACGGAGGCCATTAGGTTGCTTGCAAGAGGCTGAAGTTGAGTCTCCGTCGTGCCAATTCTCTAATGATAAGTTTATCAACCTTTGAGTCCACTCGGTTCAGTGCCAAGGGAAGTGGATCCGATTTGACATGGAGAGGTGCTATCAACTCTCGCAGTGTATTAGCCTAATATGATAAAGCAGTGATACAACACGTTGAAAGAACTGTGATGTGCCATTATTTCCATATCATATTAGTATATTAGAAATACTATCATGCAAACAAGAGCAAATAGCAAATCTGGCGTACAGTTGCAGCACTACAGAGCTTTTCTAATCTGCATGCAGGTATGCTTGTGAGGACAGAGACATGGCACTGTTTTGGTGTTATATTCTGCTCTGTCAAAAATATCCATCCCTGATGCAAAAGAGGTATTTAGGGTAGAAAGTTATATATTCTCTCTTTGTGGATTTGCTTAAAAACAGAACAGAATGAAGATCAATTAAAAAAAAAACAATAAAGCAAGAGAACAAAATACGTCCTAACCAATGTGGTTTGGCTTTCTCTGCGTTTAAAAGACATTAGCTCATTCGGAAGCGCTAAGAAAGGTCACAGAAACAAGGGGAAAGGAAGCAAACAATGTGCCCCAAATCCACCAAATGTGCACTAAAAGGAGAAAAATATTCTGTCAGCAACTTATGCATGACATCATAGAAAAAGAGGTGGCACAACACAATCTGGCTCCTTTCATTATTCTAGCTGATGATCCAGTATTGTGAAATTGCTGGTGAAGGGTAAGATACACAGCTAGGAAATCATGTGACTTTGAAACCACACTGACATTACATACCTCCAAAAACTTAGGACACTCTAGAAACTTTGTGGACTCGTGTTAGCAAAGAAAAGAGAAAGAGAGAGGTGGAATAAAGTAGCATATATCTTTTACTTTGAGTGTCTATGTGTATGTGCAGTCTGTGCACACAGGGCAGTTTCAGGCCGGCCAGTCTGGTCTCAGTAGATACCCTGTTTTACTGTCTACTATATGTGTTTATAATAGAATATGAAACTTTCACTGAATCTTGAAATCCGCTGTTTTTCGATCCGCAGATATGGAAAGTTGGGGTCTATTTTGTTGTTAAAAAAATCCTCACTTTGGGAA